CAATGCTCTTGAAATCGTCGCGAGATTATTATTGTATCTTTTGTTAATCGTAGGAAGGCTAAGTTTCGTAGTGTGTACCCGCAATCCGTAAACCGATAACTACTGGGTGAGTGTCACCTTGGACAGTGACTGTATCTGGATAATCAGTGACTCAGCAATCCTAATTGGTAGCTGCTCATGTAGCATCACTATAACCGTCACCGCCAGCAATGCTGTGTTCTCGCTTTGCGACAGATGAGGAGAAGTAAGCAGAAATATTTAAGCCTGACCATCGCGATGTATGTCAACAGAAGGATAAGACGCCTGCTGCAAAAACAAGCCTTGAGAGTCTCATGATGGCCGCAATGCGCCCACCTCCCAAATCACACTGGTCACATGAATTCCATGCTTGAGGTCTTCCACTGTCCCTCTCCTACAACTTCACCTTGTCACATTTTATCGTTTTTACCTCGCTTTCCATGCGTCCTCAGAACAACTGACATTATTTCAAAGGTGGTCACGCATTCACTATTTTAAAAAATCCCACACCACACACTAAAGTGAAAGGGAACATGTTTGCCCTCCTCTTCCTCTGAACACACTTGTTGTGGCGGTTAACGCTTTCTTACAAAGTCAAAATCCATCCAAACAGCGTGCACATCAAGTGCGTGGTGCACTCGCAGGTCACACCCTCAAGCAGAGGAGAGCAGTGCTGTAGATTGTATCCAATTGTACAGCAATCAGCATAGGCATGCAACGTGAAAAATCAATGTAAGCAACATTTATTATATGACGCGCAAGCCACTACCAATCGCCTCCATCAGTGTTGATGCCAACTCCTGCTATTGAGCTTTTCGATTAACAAATTCTCGCAAAGTCTGCGTAGAGTTTCCCCTACAATGCCGTTTAAAAATTCAGTGGTGACTTGCCGTGGTTGTCGCAACAATTATTCGGTGACACATTTGAATAAGTCCTGAAATTTGCAGGTGGTGTGCTTGTGAGAGAGCTCCGCTGTTTAGTTAAATTGGGTGGTTTTTGCTCAATCGGCTGCAAATTGTCGGGATTCACTGCATGAAATAGGTATTTATCTTTAGGATCTTCATACAGTCTCGTTCGCTTCCCGTAAATACCAATTGGTGGTAGCAGATGACGTGCATGACGTCGCCATGCAGTAACAGTGCAGTGGCAATGCCATTCGTCCAATTTCGCTGTAATGTTAGGGCACAAGAGATGCCAAGCATAGATATTCCTGTCTGGTCGCTTTCGTTTTTTTGTAAGTACACTCGCTTTCTAACTCCTAACTGAATTTTTAGCCTTGTGAATGCTGTTCTTACGCAGTTGTTTTCATTTCAGCACCACCTCGTGTAATTCTCTTTTATTTATTGCCATTAGTGAATACTGAGACGGCGACCCGGCTGCTGCAATGCCCTCGTGTTTCCGGACCAACTGGGTAATGTGGTGCAGCCA